TTTTTAGGCGCAATAAATCAGTGACAGAATTATGCACGAAATGTTTTCGTGGTCGGACCAACAACTACTTATTGTTCTGCCGGGCCTTCTTCCCCGTTCGAAATACTGCAGTGCGGGAGGCAGATTTCAATCGAAAACGACCGAAGGAATCATCTCATTCAACAGATGAAAAGGTAGGTAAACCTTCTGTGATCTTTGTATTTCGTTTCAATTTCTTGTAATTTTTTTGTGGATTTTGTAGATTTTGTTTTCTTGTAGAATTTCTTTTTGTAGATTTTTGCAGGTCGTTTTTTGTAGATCGTTTTAATTTCTAGAATTTATTAGCCAAATGTTTTAGCGGCTTAAACTATCCTTAGATTTTGCAGCATGGCAGTGATGCTTATTTACCGGCCAACAGATCATATGTACAGCAAAAAAGTTCGTTGGCTGCGGTGAATTTCTTCCTTGCTTCCATTTCTGTAACAAGATTTTGTGATTTGGAACCCGAGAATTCACTAAAAAACACCACCGTTTCGGAGAGTAATGCAAAAGCGAATGGAAGTTCTACTGTACAATCCACAACAATTACGCCAATGCCAACGATACAGAACGGAAAACCAAGCGCCGGTAATTTTTGTGGAGATTTATTTGTAACCAGTGTTTTGCTGTTGGCGCTTATTTTTTATATCATTTTTAACATTTGCTACACTCAGAACACTTTCTAATGCTTGTGCCTCTTGTAAAATGCAAATTCGGGAGGAAGGGCAGACGAAGAAAGGGCGAGGGGAAATACGTTTTTGATGAGAAATTTTTTTTTCCGATGAAGAAGAGTGGCTCCCTCTAGTTACTTTGAGATTTAAAAAAAATGCCTTTTTTGTGAATATCAGCAGTATCGGTAATGAATGTCTGCTGTTCCAGAGATTCCTTAAAGAAAAGTTTTGGTCTGAAAACAGTATTTTACTCCTCTTGTCGTTAGCTATTTTAATAGTTAATTTGACCACCATGTAGTGAAGCCAGCAAATTTTCAATTTTACCTGGCCAGGAAAGATTTGTTTTGGCATTCTTGACACCCTTAAGTACTGTTCAATATAGCGATTTCTTTAAGTACTGTCCAGAATCCGGAAATACACCTCTGCGAACTTTTTCAGGATTTATGCTTCCGGGAGGAGTAATGAGCCATAAAGAATCGATATTTTTGAAGCTCAATAAGCGAATCAGTAATTTGGAATTGAATATGTCACTGAGCAGTGAATATCTATCCGAACTAAGCAGACGCTATGTTTTGCAAACGAACGAAAGTCGACGACAAGCTGAGCTAATAATTAAACAAGCCGAAGAAGCGGCTGTGAATGCAGTCAAACCCATCATTGATGCTCTGAAAATCCAGGTGATTTATTTTAGTGTCTTGAATTTTTATGAATCGATTCAAATTTTTTGCATATGAGTAAATGAGCAAATTCGAAAAAATAAGAATTTACACTGTCTGTGAAAGTAAGAATTTGCAGCTTACACCAAAAAGTGGTGTGGTGATCTCTGTGAAGAACGTAGGCACTAGAAATTGCTGCATAAGTAGCATATGCTAAAAGCAACGTCTACTGGTAGGGTTGTCTATGGTTTCCTCTTTTGATGGTTGCTTGTAAGGAATTTTGGTATTATTGAATGATACTTGCAAGGAAGAAAATAACAGTCCACACTTCCTCCGAAGTTATAACGCAGCGGTAGCGTCTTTCGCTAATGTAATGAATACTGCAAAAAGCCGGTAAATAGCCGATTAAAAATTTGTGCTGCATGTGATGGGACTATTGTACAGGGTGAAAAAATACGTATGGTAGCGATGTATGTGCAGAAACAAGTGTTTTGTACAGAGCATGAGGTCGATAATGTAATTAGTAACAGGATTCGAGAAATCCGGAAGTAATCAAAATGAGAGGCTCACCCCCTTCCAGCGGTCCATTTTTATGTGCAAAGGAAGGCCCGGTTGACGGCAGGTGGTGTAATGAAAAACATACAGTATAGTACAAAAGTTTTTTTATTTATACGATACTTTGCTTTACCGTAAAAAACTGTATGTGTACAATGCGATATGTTTGTTCATCAAGCAGAACATACCGTGAAAGGAGCCTTCTTTTGCAAATGGGCCGATAGGGAATTGAACCACACCCCTTCACACGCGGATGCGACTTGCTCTCCACTGCACTACCCGAAATTTTGTACCTCGGTTGCACTTTTGTTGCGTGTCTGCCGTTTAAAGCAGAATTCACCTTTCTTTTCTTATCTGCCTTTCGCAGGCAGTATACATCTTTTCCTTTTTTGATACCCTTATTT